GTACTTCCCACCTCCAGAACTGTAACATCCTCACTCATCCTTCAGAGTGCAGGCACTGTACTTCCCACCTCCAGAACTGTAACATCCTCACTCATCCTTCAGAGTGCAGGTACTGTACTTCCCACCTCCAGAACTGTAACATCCTCACTCATCCTTCAGAGTGCAGGCACTGTACTTCCCACCTCCAGAACTGTAACATCCTCACTCATCCTTCAGAGTGCAGGTACTGTACTTCCCACCTCCAGAACTGTAACATCCTCACTCATCCTTCAGAGTGCAGGTACTGTACTTCCCACCTCCAGAACTGTAACATCCTCACTCATCCTTCAGAGTGCAGGTACTGCACCTCCCACCTCCAGAACTGTAACATCCTCACCCATCCTTCAGAGTGCAGGTACTGTACTTCCCACCTCCAGAACTGTAACATCCTCACTCATCCTTCATCAGAGTTCAGACTCTGTACTTCCCACCTCAAGAACTGTAACATCCTCACCCATCCTTCAGAGTGCAGGTACTGTACTTCCCACCTCCAGAACTGTAACATCCTCACTCATCCTTCAGAGTGCAGGTACTGTACTTCCCACCTCCAGAACTGTAACATCCTAACCAATCCTTCAGAGTGCAGGTACTGTACTTCCCACCTCCAGAACTGTAACATCCTCACTCATCCTTCAGAGTGCAGGCACTGTACTTCCCACCTCCAGAACTGTAACATCCTCGCTCATCCTTCAGAGTGCAGGTACTGTACTTCCCACCTCCAGAACTAACATCCTCACTCATCCTTCAGAGTGCAGGTACTGCACTTCCCACCTCCAGAACTGTAACATCCTCACTCATCCTTCAGAGTGCAGGCACTGTACTTCCCACCTCCAGAACTGTAACATCCTCACTCATCCTTCAGAGTGCAGGTACTGTACTTCCCACCTCCAGAGCTGTAACATCCTCACTCATCCTTCAGAGTGCAGGTACTGTACTTCCCACCTCCAGAACTGTAACATCCTCACTCATCCTTCAGAGTGCAGGCACTGTACTTCACACCTCCAGGACTCAAGTCCAGTTAACCGGTTTCCCAGAATCCCTTCACGTGTTAATAATCCCAAGGGAATCTTCGGTGTTCCTGACAGTGGAAGATGAGGTAATCAGTCTCCCAGCCTTGTATAACTATACACGGAAGTCAAGCATATGGATAGTCTACCTGGAGAGTCTACCTGGAGAGTCTACCTGGAGAATCTACTCTCCGGTGATCTGGTCCCAGACCAGATTTTACAGATTATTTGAAGACTAATAGTCAATACTATGATCTAGAGATTTCTATACAGGTTCGGTTGGGTTAGGTTAGGTTAGGTTAGGTTAGGTTAGGTTAGGTTAGGTTAGGTTAGGTAAGGTTTGTCAGGTTAGGTTAGGTTATGTTAGGTTAGGTCATAGTTCATTAGTTAGTAAGGATTCTTCAGTTAGGTTGGGTTAGGTATAGTTATAGGTTAGTAAGTTAGGTTAGTTAGGTAAGGTTTGTCAGGTTAGTCTAGGTTAGTAGTTAGGTAGGTTAGGTTATTAGGTAGTAAGTTAATTAGTCAGGTTTACAGGTTAGGAGTTAGGTTAGGTTAGGTTAAGTTAGTATAGGTTAGTCAGGTTGAGTTAGCTAGGTTAGGTTAGGTTAGGTTAGGTTAGGTATTAGGTAGGTTAGGTTAGAGTAAGTTAGTATCTTAGTAGTTAGTTAGTAAGGTAAGTCAGTTAGTTAGGTTAGCGTTAGTTAGTTATTCAGGTATTTGTCAGGTTAGTTAGGTTAGTAGGATGGTATAGTTAGGTTAGGTTAGGTAAGGTTTGTCAGGTATTAGGTTAGGTATAGGTTAGGTTAGAGTTATAGTCAGTATAGTTAGGTAGGTTAGTTATTAGGTTAGGTAAGTTAGTCTAGGTTAGGTTTAGGTTAGGTTAGGTGTTAGGTTCGTTAGGGTTATAGGTTAGGTTAGGTTAGGTTAGGTTAATTGGTAGTTGTTAGAGGTGTAGGTTAGGTTTGTTAGGTTAGGTTAGAGTTAGGTTAGGATTATAGGTAAGGTTTGTCAGTGTTGTGGTTAGGTTAGGTTAGGTTAGGTTAGGTTATGTAGTTAGGTTAGGTTTTAGGTAGGTTAGGTTAGGTTTAGGTTAGGTTAGGTTAGTGTTAAGTTGTAGTTAGGTTAGGTTTAGGTTATTAGGTTAGGTTGTAGGTTAGGTTTAGTTAGGTTAGGTTTAGGTTTGTAGGTTAGGTTAGGTTAGGTTAGGTTAAGGTAAAGGTTTGTCAGGTTAGGTTAGGTTAGGTTAGGTTGTTAGGTTAGGTTAGTAGGTAGTTTGTAGGTTAGGTTAGGTTAGGTTAGGTTAGTTAGGTATAGGTTAGGTTAGGTTAGGTTAGGTAGGTTAGGTTAGGTTAGGTTAGGTTAGGTTAGGTTAGGTTAGTGTTAGGTATAGGTAGTAAGGTTTGTCAGGTTTAGGTAGGATTAGGTTAGGTTAGGTTAGGTTAGGTTATTAGGTTTTAGGTTAGTATAGGTTTAGTAGGTGTAAGGTTTTAGGTTAGGTTAGGTTAGGTTAGGTTAGTGTTATGGTTAGGTTAGGTTAGGTAAGGTAAGTTTGTCAGGTAGTTAGGTTAGGTTAGGTTAGGTTAGGTTAGTTTAGGTTAGGTTAGGTTATTGTAGGTTAGGTTAGGTTAGTTAGGTTATAGGTTTAGGTTAGTTAGGTTAGGTAGGTTAGGTTAGGTTAGTTAGGTTGTAGGTTAGGTTAGGTTAGGTTAGGTTATAGTTAGGTAGGTTTGTCAGGTTAGGTTAGGTTAGGTTAGGTTAGTAGTTGGTATTAGGTTAGTAAGGTTTTGTCGTAGTTAGGTTAGGTTAGGTTAGTTAGTTTAGGTTAGGTTAGTTTAGGTTAGGTTAGGTTAGGTTAGGTTAGGTTAGGTTAGGTTAGGTTAGGTTAGGTTAGGTTAGGTTTGTCAGGAAACAGGACAAATGTGTCCTGACGTGGGACTTAGTTATATGATAACCCACAGCTGGAGCTTTTGGTCATCTGACCGAGACCTTCCACTGGCTTACCACTCCACCACTTTAAAATCAACAGTTATAATTATAACCATTAAATATTTCTTTACATTTCAAAACATCATAAAACACTCTTCTCCCCGAGTAACTTCAGTAGACATGGTTACTGCTTCTGAAACCTTGTTTGGCTAACTGTTTCTCTCTGCCGAAACTCTTGAGCTGGACACAGATATTTCTAGCCATATAACTAGACTGTAGCTGACCAGAAGTGATTTAACTTACTCTAGTTATGTCTGTTGTCTAGGTTATTCTAGTTGTTCCTTCTGATACTCCTTTTCTTATTCCAGTGTCTCTGACGCCACTAGTTTTTGCTTCCAGACGCCACTAGTTATTGCTTCAAGACGCCACTAACTAGTCTTGCTTCAAGACACCACTAACTGGTCTTGCTTCAAGACACCACTAACTGGTCTTGCTTCAAGACACCACTAACTGGTCTTGCTTCAAGACACCACTAACTGGTCTTGCTTCAAGACACCACTAACTGGTCTTGCTTCAAGACACCACTAACTGGTCTTGCTTCAAGACACCACTAACTGGTCTTGCTTCAAGACACCACTAACTGGTCTTGCTTCAAGACACCACTAACTGGTCTTGCTTCAAGACACCACTAACTGGTCTTGCTTCAAGACACCACTAACTGGTCTTGCTTCAAAATACCACTAACTGGTCTTGCTTCAAGACACCACTAACTGGTCTTGCTTCAAGACACCACTAACTGGTCTTGCTTCAAGACACCACTAACTGGTCTTGCTTCAAGACACCACTAACTGGTCTTGCTTCAAGACACCACTACTGGTCTTGCTTCAAGACACCACTAACTGGTCTTGCTTCAAGACACCACTAACTGGTCTTGCTTCAAGACACCACTAACTGGTCTTGCTTCAAGACACCACTAACTGGTCTTGCTTCAAGACACCACTAACTGGTCTTGCTTCAAGACACCACTAACTGGTCTTGCTTCAAGACACCACTAACTGGTCTTGCTTCAAGACACCACTAACTGGTCTTGCTTCAAGACACCAACTAACTGGTCTTGCTTCAAGACACCACTAACTGGTCTTGCTTCAAGACACCACTAACTGGTCTTGCTTCAAGCTCCCTTACCTCCTGACGACCACTTCTCTAATTTGTATGATCACTGATAGACCAATAATTACGAAATACTGTACAGTATTGCAATGACACTCGTGTATACTGCAGCTATCACTGTGTTCTTGCATACAAGTATACAAACATCACACGTATATACAACACTGTAAGAATAATTCGTGTATATATAATGACTATTCCTGCCCACATAACTGTATGGGTCGCGTAGATCCAGTTTGTTGTGATGGATAAATATAGATTTTGTGAAATATTCTTGTGTTAATATCTGTGTTTATAACTGATACACTCAAAATATTAATTTTTCGCTTTGGCATCTTCGAGTACGATTATTTTTTTTTTTAAATAATGTGGTGTATAACTTAGGGTGTTAAATTTTCGTGTGGCGAGACGTGGCAAGGATTGGAGCATATATAAGGGTCTGCCTGGACTGACTGCGGTCCACTTCTTTTGCGGCCAACAGTGGTAGAAGAGTAAATATGAAGACCTTCCTGCCTCTCTTCTTACACTTCTGGCTGTAGCAGCCAACGCTGCTCCTGGTAAGTGGCTCACGTGCTCTTTCCTCCACTTGTAAGTACCATCATACACTCACAAGATTTTACTTCTGGAGTTGCAGCTGTGTTAGAGTGCTGGGGATGTCATGAGAGCCTCAGTCTTGGTACAATACTAAAGTTGCCGAGAAAGATTCAATGTTCGTGGGTCGGGCGAATGTTTTTAAGTGGGTTTGGGTTTGAGAAGAAGGTGCCAAGTATGGGCCAGTAGGTCTGCTGCAGTGTTCCTCCTTTTTATGTTTTTATGTCTCTCTAGACACTTGAAGATCCTCTAGTCTTTCCCAAGAGAATGAAGAACTATGTCATAGGAGAAATGAGAACGTCTCTAGTACCTCCGAGGGAAAGAACCTCTCTAGGCCTTCTGAGGGGAAGTAAGAACCTCTCTAGGCTTCTGAGGGAAGTAAGACCTCTCTGGCCTTGAGGGGAAGTAAGAACCTCTCTAGGCCTTCTGAGGGGAAGTAAGAACCTCTCTAGGACAACAGAAACTTGAGGGCCCCTAATCCCGGAGGGGCCCCAGAAGCCACTTTAGTCCACACTGATTAAAAATTTTGGGTCTCCTGTATGAGGAGTTATAAAAAATAATAATATTAATAATACAGTGTAATTCAATACAAAATAATAGAATAAAAATTACAAGGTTATTAAAGTATGATGTAGGCCTAGCTGTAGGCCTAGATGTTGCTGGTTGTGAAGGTGACTCATAACAGTTCAAGCTTCAGGAACCCCATGACAGTTCAAGCTTCAGGGACTCCATAACAGTTCAAGGTTCAGGAACCACATGACAGTTCAAGCTTCAGGGACACCATAACAGTTCAAGGTTCAGGAACCCCATAACAGTTCAAGGTTCAGGGACACCATAACAGTTCAAGGTTCAGGAACCCCATAACAGTTCAAGGTTCAGGGACACCATAACAGTTCAAGGTTCAGGGACACCATAACAGTTCAAGGTTCAGGGACACCATAACAGTTCAGGTTCAGGGCACATAACAGTTCAAGGTTAGGACACCATAACAGTGTAAGGTTCAGGGACACCATAACAGTTCAAGGTTCAGGGACACCATAACAGTTCAAGGTTCATGGAACCATAACAGTTCAAGGTTCAGGACACTACAGTATAAGGTTCGGGGAACCATAACAGTTCAAGGTTCATGGACACCATAACAGTTAAAGGTTCAGGGACACCATAACAGTTCAAGGTTCAGGGACACCATAACAGTTAAAGGTTCAGGGACACCATAACAGTTCAAGGTTCATGGACACCATAACAGTTAAGGTTCAGGGACACCATAACAGTTCAAGGTTCATGGACACCATAACAGTTACAAGGTTCAGGGACACCATAACAGTTCAAGGTTCAGGGACACCATAACAGTTCAAGGTTCATGGACACCATAACAGTTAAAGGTTCAGGGACACCATAACAGTTCAAGGTTCAGGGACACCATAACAGTTCAAGGTTCAGGGACACCATAACAGTTCAAGGTTAAGGCCCCTAAAAATATAGGTCCTCCACTTTTTGTTAGTTTCTTAGCCATTTCTCATGTTATGTAAGATGTTTGTACTTACGTTTCCTGTGTCTAAATAATGTTACTCACTTCAGCTGCCCAGGGTGGTCCGCTGTTTGGCCCTCCTACCACCACCTCCACCACTGAGATTCCTCTTCTGGCATTAGCAACCCAGTGCCACCCAGTCAAGTCAGAGATGCCCGCAGCGCCCAGTTCCCGCAGCCTTCTAACGTGGTGGGTGGAGTTACCTGTGTGTGTGTGTGTGTGTGTGTGTGTGTACTCACCTATTTGTACTCGCCTATTTGTGGTTGCAGGGGTCGAGTCCTAGCTCCTGGCCCCGCCTCTTCACCGGTTGCTATGGCCCCCCTCTCCCCGCTCCTGAGTTTATAAACCTGTTTTAAAAAACTGGAAAGGTTTCCCCCCCCTACGTATTTTTGGGCTATTCCACTGCCTTACAATTAGATGAAAAAATATTTCCCTACTATCTCTTACTCATTTGGTTCAACTTCCAATTGTGGCCCTTGTTTCTGTGTCCCTCCCGGAAATCGCCTTGCCCCCTTGTCTTTTTCCCACGCAGTTTTGTGTGTGTGTGGGTGTGTTGTGTGGGTTGTGTGGGGTGTGTGTGTGTGTGTGTACTCCCCTATTTGTACCCCCCTATTTGTGGTTGGGGGGTCGAGTCCTAGCCCCGGCCCCCTTTCACGGGTTTGTCTGGGTCTTCTTTCCTACCCCAGAGCTTTATAAAACCCTCGTCTTAAAACTTTTAGGGTTTTCCCGCCCCACTATGTACTTTTGGGTACCCGCTGCCGGGAAACACCTGTTTTTTTCCCCCTTTGTCATTCCACGCATATTTTATGTCGTTTCAGTTCCCCGGGACCCCCTTCCTCCAGTGTCGTCGGCCGCTTCCTCAACTTTCTTCTGGCTTCCCTTAGTTGGGAACAAATTCTTGCGCAAACCTTTGCACTTTCTCAAATTTTCTTGACGTGCTTGTCAAGTGTGGGTTCTAAATGGTGTACATACCCAGTAGGGCCCGAAACCGGGTTTCGTGCTTGAAAGTTCCCCTATAAGGAGGGAAACGCTGTTAAAAGGTTTGCAGGCCCCATTGCGCACGGGTTATCGGTTGATGTGTGCTTCGGAGAATGAGGGTGTATATACCCCAAGATTTTTTCTTGAGCGAGTTTGCAGCTTTGGCCACCTAGCATATTCCTCTGCGGTCTTCTTTTCCCCTTCCCCGTCTTCATGACTTTGCATTTGGCGGGGTGGTGTATGTGTGTGTGGTGTGTGTGTATCACCTATTTGTGGTTGGGGGCGATTCCGGGTTCTGGTCCCACTTTCCCTAGTCGTATGGGTCCCTCCCCCTGCCCAAGACCCTTTACCGTACTCCTTAAAATAGTACTCACCTAATTGGGGTTTTGCGGGATCATTAAGCTCCCGGTGCGTTTTGTGGTATTGGAGAGAGAAGAGAGAGAGAGAGAGAGGAGAGAGGAGAGAGATAAAAACACTAAAAAGAAACTATAAAAATCATATCTAAACCTACATAAGAAACAAATGAGAATCGCTAAACTCACGGTATTAAATTCTCCTTCAATTTCTCATCCCCAGGATTCCCCACCTTCACCCATTCATGGGAACAGACCCATCTCTCCTCCCTTCAGCCAGAGTGACGTAAGTATACCACCTCTAACACAATACACTTTTAATTCAATTATTTACACCCATAACGTAACCAAAATTTTAAATGTCTGACGACGGCTCCAGTTTTCACCGAAACTTCGAAATATTTAATGAAAAATAATCCATATTAATGATCCAATTTTAGTTTTCAATTGTATTATCGGGTACCTACTTACTGCTAGGTGAACAGTGACAACAGGTGTGAGGTGGCTAACACCTGGGTGTTAGTCACTTTACACCTGCTGTCCCTGTTCACCTAGTAGTAAGTAGGTACCTGGGTGTTAATCACCTTATACCTATTGTCCCTGTTCACCTAGCAGTAAGTAGGTACCTGGGTGTTAGTGGACTGGTGTGGGTGGCATCCTGGGGACAAAATTAACCTAAGTTGCAGGAAATGCTCTGCTTAACCAGGGACTTTCTATATAGTATGTCATGGGTGTCAGCTATGGTCTGTATAAGTTATACCATGTATTGGTAGAAATAAAGATTATTATTATTATTATTATTATTATTATTATTATTATTATTATTATTATTATTAAATCTATAGGGGAAGGAAGGAGGGGTAGGGGTCGTCCTCGGAAAGGTTGGAGGGAGGGGGTAAAGGAGGTTTTGTGGGCAAGGGGCTTGGACTTCCAGCAGGCATGCCTGAGCGTGTTAGATAGGAGTGAATGGAGACGAATGGTACTTGGGACCTGACGAGCTGTTGGAGTGTGAGCAGGGTAATATTTAGTGAAGGGATTCAGGGAAACCGGTTATTTTCATATAGTCGGACTTGAGTCCTGGAAATGGGAAGTACAATGCCTGCACTTTAAAGGAGGGGTTTGGGATATTGGCAGTTTGGAGGGATATGTTGTGTATCTTTATACGTATATGCTTCTAAACTGTTGTACCTCTGCAAAAGCAGTGATAATGTGTGAGTGTGGTGAAAGTGTTGAATGATGATGAAAGTATTTTCTTTTTGGCGATTTTCTTTCTTTTTTGGGTCACCCTGCCTCGGTGGGAGACGGCCAACTTATTGAAATTATTATTATTATTATTATTATTATTATTATTATTATTATTATTATTATTATTATTATTATTATTATTAAATGTTGCACATGTGTCTAATTTATAATCTTGTTGGTTCTGTGAACCATTTATTGGCAGGATGACTCTGAATCACGATCACTGAGTGACTCTGCTGACTCCAGCATCTCTGAAATCAGCAGCAATGACAGTGACAGCAGTGTAAGATTCTCCTCCCAGGTTCACAATCCTCCAGAATCACCCTTAAGTTTTGGTAGCGTAAGTATCACTGTTGTAGCACCTTACAGTGACCTTCACTGGCGTAAGATCTGTTGTAGCGCCTTACAGTGAACTTCACTGGCGTAAGTTCTGTTATTGTCAAAGTTTCCACTTAACCTCAGGAAACTTAGATTCTGTGTCAGTGCTTTTTTCCTTTCCCTTAACGAAGCTTCAATGATGTATCTTTCTCGCCTGCGTTCCAAGGAGTACAGGTCAAGGGACTTCAACCGTTCTCGGTAATTTAGGGAATTTTTTATATTTATAAGTGAAGTGAAAGTTCTCTGTATATTCTCCAGGTCAGCAATTTCGCCCCTTGAAGGGATCATTAGTGAACCACAATATTACACCCTAGAGAGCACAAGCGATTTGAAGAGATTTATCATGGGCTTGGCATCCCTAGTTTTGAAGGTTCTCATTATCCATCCTAAAATTTTCTAGCAGATGAGGTAAATACATTGTTGTGGCCTTTGAAGGTGAGATCCTCTGACATTATCACTCCCAGGTCCTTCACATTAGTTTTTCGCTCTATTGTGTGATTGGAATTTGTTTTATACTCTGATACAGTTTTCATTCCTCGAGTTTTCCATATCGGAGTAATTCGTATTGTTTTCTGAGGCCAATTTAAAGATTTGTTTGATATCCGCCTAGAGATTTACAGTGTCCTCAGTGGATGACACTGTCATGCAGATTCTGGTATCATCAGCTAAGGACACAGTGCTATGGCTTACATCCCTGTCTGTGTCAGATATGAGGATGAGGAACAGGATGGGAACGAGTACTGTGCCTTGTGGAGCAAAACATTTCACTGTAGTCGTCTCAGACTTTACTCTGTTTACTATTACTCTTTGTGTTCTATTTATTGCGAATTTATAGATCCATCTACTCACTCTTCCTGTTATTCCTTTATCACCCATTTTGTGTGCTATTACACCATGGTCACACTTGTCATAAGCTTTCGTATACTACATCTGCATTCTGTTTGTCCTCCAGCGCATCGAAGACTATATCATAGTGGTCCAGTAGTTGTGAGAGGCAAGAGTGACCATCCAAGACTATATCATAGTGATCCAGTAGTTGTGAGAGGCAGGAGTGACCATCCAAGACCATGTCATAGTGGTCCAGTAGTTGTGAGAGGCAGGAGTGACCATCCAAGACTATATCATAGTGGTCCAGTCGTTGTGAGAGGCAGGAGTGACCATCCAAGACTATATCATAGTGATCCAGTAGTTGTGAGAGGCAGGAGTGACCATCCAAGACCATGTCATAGTGGTCCAGTAGTTGTGAGAGGCAGGAGTGACCATCCAAGACTATATCATAGTGGTCCAGTAGTTGTGAGAGGCAGTAGTGACCATCCAAGACTATATCATAGTGGTCCAGTATTTGAGAGAGGCAGGGACGACCTGCTCTAAATCCATGCTGCCCTCGGTTGTGCAATTATTGGGAATCCAAATGGTTGGCGATCTTGCTTTTGAAATCCTTTAAAAACTTTTTATGACGTGGGACATTAGTGCTATTAGTTGCTATTGTTTTACTGCTACCTTTGTCGAGAGGGGCTATGTCTGTTGTTGTTAGTGACTGTGGGAAGACCCTCGTGTTTAGGCTATAGGATGACCCCTGTGTCTAAGCTATGGGATGACCCCTGTGTCTAAGCTATGGGATGACCCCTGTGTCTAAGCTATGGGATGACCCCTGTGTCTAAGCTATGGGATGAACCCCCCGTGTCTAAGCTGTGGGATGACCCCTATGTCTAAGCTATGGGATGACCCCCCCGTGTCTAAGCTGTGGGATGACCCCTGTGTCTAAGCTATGGGATGACCCCCCCGTGTCTAAGCTGTGGGATGACCCCCGTGTCTAGGCTATGGGATGACCCTTGTGTCTAGGCAGTGGGATGACCCTTGTGTCTAGGCAGTGGGATGACCCTTGTGTCTAGGCTGTGGAATAACCCCTTGTGCTTAGGTAGTGGGATGACCCTTGTCTAGGCAGTGGGATGACCTTTGTGTCTAGGTAGAGGGATGACCCTTGTGTCTAGGCAGTGGGACGACCCCTGTGTCTAGGCTCCCTATGGGTTGGTATTTTTTCATTGTTTAATTCTTTCGTTTAATGATTTTTTGCAGGCTGATTTCAACTCACGACCAGTGAGGCAGGTACCTACTACTACCACTGAGAAGAACGTACGACCAGTGAGGCAGGTACCTACTACTACCACTGAGAAGAACATACGACCAGTGAGGCAGGTACCTACTACTACCACTGAGAAGAACGTACGACCAGTGAGGCAGGTACCTACTACTACCACTGAGAAGAACGTACGACCAGTGAGGCAGGTACCTACTACTACCACTGAGAAGAACGTACGACCAGTGAGGCAGGTGCCTACTACTACCACTGAGAAGAACGTACGACCAGTGAGGCAGGTACCTACTACTACCACTGAGAAGAACGTACGACCAGTGAGGCAGGTACCTACTACTACCACTGAGAAGAACGTACGACCAGTGAGGCAGGCACCTACTACTACCACTGAGAAGAACGTACGACCAGTGAGGCAGGTACCTACTACTACCACCGAGAAGAACGTACGACCAGTGAGGCAGGTACCTACTACTACCACTGAGAAGAACGTACGACCAGTGAGGCAGGTACCTACTACTACCACTGAGAAGAACGTACGACCAGTGAGGCAGGTACCTACTACTACCACCGAGAAGAACGTACGACCAGTGAGGCAGGTACCTACTACTACCACTGAGAAGAACGTACGACCAGTGAGGCAGGTACCTACAACTACCACTGAGAAGAACGTACGACCAGTGAGGCAGGTACCTACTACTACCACTGAGAAGAACGTACGACAGTAAGGCAGGTTACTAGTTCCACCACTGTCAAGACGACCACCAACTAAGTTAGTGGTTCATCCCCACTAACCACTAGGACGACCCTCCATCTACTGTCCTCTGGTGGTACACTATCACCACTACCTCCGCCAAGAACACCTCCAGGAGAATAGTTTGTCTATCTAGAGAAAGACAATGTTTTACATCTAACTAATTTAGAAATAATGACCCGTGAATCAGAACTATGATAATGTCTTGTTGTTCTAGTATTCTAGACAGCATCTAAGCTAGATCCTTCAGACTTGTAACAGCTTAAATCCTGTTCACTAGTCTGCTGGTTCCTTGATCTACCATCCTCCATGGTTAGTGTTATTTGTCAGTGGATAGTGATTGTCCTTGATGATGACCCTCGTTGAACTCGCTTGACCTCTGCACGTCTCGTTCACTGTGTTAATCCACGTTGAACACAAAGACATGCTTGACCATTGCTCTGCACTGTTGTTGTCACTCACCCAGCGACATTTTCTTGCACACGTTTTTTTCTCCAGTTGTATCTCCACCAGATCACGTTTGAGCTCTGTAACATCTCTCAGTAACTAAGAGAAGCAAGCTAGATCAAGCAAGTTCACCAAGCATTAACGTTGATTCTGCTGTTGTCGACACTGTTCACCATCTCTGCCATCAGTACCAACACATGACAAACCGTATGATGATACCGACGAACTCTGGACAAAAGCCACTTGTTCGCAGTACTATTTATTAATGATAATCCATCCTTTCGTAAATGTCCTCAACTGTACATAAATATCCAATTCCAAAAGACCACATTGATGATTATAATATCAATAATTATCCACTGTTTTAAGCATTTAAAACACCCATTATTTTTTGTAAACAGAGACGCTATAACTTGAAGTCAAGTGTGGACACAGCATGATGTGAGACATCAAACTTCAGATATATAACTCATGATTCTTAACTGTATAGCTATAACTGCGGACATCTATTGACCCAGTTGCAGTTATCTAAATCGTTAAGCTTGTATTTAACCCTCTGCTTTTGTTTAGTAAATATATACATGTTGCGTAGAATAGAATAAAGCCAGCATTCCAAACCAAAATTTTATTGATCTAAACCAGTTATATATATATATATATAATATATATATATATATATATATATATATACTGATCTCTGGCTGAAGGAGACTCGAACCTACGAACCTTGGGACAAGGTACGCAGTGCTTTACCAATCTACCCACATCGGACAATACCTTGGCGTGTAGCTTGCGCTACACGTTTGATCCAAGGCAGCCAGCTATCAGGGAGAAGGCTTACAGCTTTTCATCTCATCCCCTGCATGCATCAGCCTTACTAGAGATATTAACAATGCAAGGAATTGTCCAGTGTGGGTAGATTGGTGAAGCACTGCGTACCTTGTCCCAAGGTTCGTAGGTTCGAGTCTTCTTCAGCCAGAGATCAGTGTTTGTGTATATTTCGCCTGCTCTTGCGAATTCTTTATATATATATACAAAAATGAACAGGAAATCCAAGTCGAAATTTTTCACATCAAACCATAACAAGTGCCTAATTTCAATTTCTAACTCGTGGGTTAGTTAATTTTAGACTTAAAAAAAGGCATATCTTATCAGCTTTCCCTTGCTTCACTGCATGACAGTGTCTTCCATTGTAGACACTGCAAGGCTCCAGGAGGACATTGCAGACACTACAAGGCTCCAGGAGGACACTGCAGACACTGCAAGGCTCCAGGAGGACATTGCAGACACTGCAAGGCTCCAGGAGGACATTGCAGACACTGCAAGGCTCCAGGCGGACATTGCAGACACTGCAAGGCTCCAGGCGGACATTGCAGACCCTGCAAGGCTCCAGGAGGACATTGCAGACACTGTAAGGCTCCAGGAGGACATTGCATACACTGTAAGGCTCCAGGAGGACATTGCAGACTCTGCAAGGCTCCAGGCGGACATTGCAGACCCTGCAAGGCTCCAGGAGGACATTGCAGACACTGTAAGGCTCCAGGAGGACATTGCAGACATTGTAAGGCTCCAGGAGGACATTGCATACACTGCAAGGCTCCAGGAGGACATTGCAGACACTGCAAACCAAATCTTTCAGTGGGCTGCAGAAAACAATGTGAAGTTCAACGATGAGAAATTTTACTCAGATATGGTAAACATGAGGAAATTAAAACTTTATCAGAGTACAAAACAAATTCTGGCCACAAAATAGAGCGAAACACCAACGTCAAAGACCTGGGAGTGATCATGTCGGAGGATCTCACCTTCAAGGACCATAACATTGTATCAATCGCATCTGCTAGAAAAATGACAGGATGGATAATGAGAACCTTCAAAACTAGGGATGCCAAGCCCATGATGACACTCTTCAGGTCACTTGTTCTATCTAGGCTGGAATATTGCTGCACACTAACACCACCTTTCAAGGCAGGTGAAATTGCTGACCTAGAAAATGTACAAAGAACCTTCACGGCGCGCATAACGGAGATAAAACACCTCAATTACTGGGAGCGCTTGAGGTTCCTAAACCTGTATTCCCTGGAACGCAGGCGGGAGAGATACATGATTATATACACCTGAAAAATCCTAGAGGGACTAGTACCGAACTTGCACACGAAAATCACTCACTACGAAAGCAAAAGACTCGGCAGACGATGCACCATCCCCCCAATGAAAAGCAGGGGTGTCACTAGCACGTTAAGAGACCATACAATAAGTGTCAGGGGCCCGAGACTGTTCAACTGCCTCCCAGCATACATAAGGGGGATTACCAATAGACCCCTGGCAGTCTTCAAGCAGGCACTGGACAAGCACCTAAAGTCGGTACCTGACCAGCCAGGCTGTGGCTCGTACGTTGGATTGCGTGCAGCCAGCAGTAACAGCCTGGTTGATCAGGCCCTGTTCCACCATGAGGCCTGGTCACAGACCGGGCCGCAGGGGCGTTGACCCCAGGAACTCGCTCCAGGTACTCCACGTAAGTAATGATGGTAATGGATGCTATATCATTATTCCGACGCACAAACATCTATCACATTAAAAATATGCGAGATAATCAAAGAACATGCGCAGTAAGCATTTATGTCTATTGCATTCCTAAGTGTTGATTCTTGGGTGATAAGGACAGTAATAGGTTTAGTAGAGAAACAGAAATGAGCAGGAAGGGTAAAGAGAAAGGAGAGTCTTTCAATGTTTATTATGCTAATTGCCGTAGTGCTAGGAATAAGATGGACGAGTTGAGATTAGTTGCTAGTGCAGGTAACATTGATGTATTTGCCTTAACTGAGACGTGGTTTAATTCAAAAAGTCGGGACATGCCTGCGGAATGTCATATTCAGGGTTTTAAATTGTTCCAAGTAGATAGAAGTATCGGGAAGGGGGGTGGGGTGGCATTGTATGTCCGAGATCGCTTGAACTGTTGCATAAAAACGGGTATTAAGTCTGAAGTAACACATACAGAGTCTGTTTGGATAGAATTTTCAGAGGGGCATGAAAAACTGATTTTAGGAGTGATATACCGTCCCCCAAACTTAGATAGGGACCAGGGGAGACTACTATGGGAGGAAATTGTTAAGGCCACAAGGCACGATAATGTAGTAATTCTAGGAGACTTTAACTTTAGTCATGTTGATTGGAATTTCTTGACTGGGAATTTAGAATCATACGACTTCTTAGAAGTAGTTCAGGATTGTTTTTTGAAGCAGTTTGTGACAGAACCTACAAGGGGAAATAACCTGCTTGACTTAGTTCTGGCAAACAATGAATCCCTTGTTAATAATTTAGAAGTTTCAGAGGAACTGGGTGCTAGCGACCACAAATCAATTACATTTAGCATTGAATGGAAGTACGATAGTAGCGATAACTCAGTAACAGTCCCAGATTTTCGCTTAGCAGATTACGATGGGCTCAGAGAACACTTATCATCTGTTGACTGGGGTAACGAAGTAAGCTATCAATATGACAGTTTTCTGAACACTATACATGCTGCTCAAAGAACGTTTATCCCATATAAAGAAATTAGATCAAATAGAAATGACCCAAAATGGATGAATAATAGGCTCAAATATCTACTAGGGCATAAGAAAGGAATTTATAGGCGTATCAAAAGAGGTGAGGGTCATCTTATGAATTAGTATATTGACATTAAGAGGGACATTAAAAAGGGGATAAGAAAAGCTAAAAGGGACTATGAAATTAAAGTTGCTAGGGATTCTAAAACTAACCCAAAAAGTTTTTTCCAGGTCTATAGAACAAAAGTCAGAGATGAGATAGGTCCCCTTAAAAATAACTATGGGCACCTTACTGACAAAGAGAATGAAATGTGCTCGATTTTTAATAATTATTTTCTCTCAGTTTTTACACAGGAAGACACTAACAATATTCCAGTAATTAATTTTTATAGTGGGCTAGAAGAAGATAAATTATGTAACATCACAGTCACTAGTGAGATGGTTGTGAAGCAGATAGACAGACTGAAGCAAAATAAGTCGCCGGGTCCTGATGAGGTTTTTTCAAGGGTTCTTAAGGAATGCAAAATGGAACTCTGTGAGCCATTAACTAATATTTTTAATTTATCTCTTCAAACAGGTGTAGTGTCTGATATGTGGAAGACGGCTAATGTAATTCCTATTTTTAAAACAGGGGACAAATCGTTACCGTCAAATTACCGCCCAATAAGCCTGACCTCAATTGTAGGCAAATTACTAGAGTCAATTACAGCTGAGATTATAAGAAGCCATCTCGATAAGCATAGCTTGATTAATGATACTCAGCATGGATTCACAAGAGGCCGGTCTTGTCTAACTAATTTATTAACTTTCTTCAGTAAAGCTTTTGAGGCTGTTGACCACGATAAAGAATTTGATATTATTTACTTAGATTTTAGTAAGGCTTTTGATAGAGTTTCCGCACCATAGACTGTTAAAGAAAGTGGCAGCTCATGGCATTGGGGGAAAATTGCTCTCGTGGATCGAGTCATGGCTCACTGACAGGAAGCAGAGAGTGTCCATAAATGGGGTTAAATCCGAGTGGGGATCTGTAACAAGTGGCCTTCCACAGGGATCAGTCTTGGGCCCGTTGTTGTTATAATATATATCAATGAATCTTGATGAGGGAAATTACTATGATATGAGCAAATTCGCCGATAACACAAAGATAGGTAAGATAATTGATTCAAACGTAGATGTTATGGAACTTCAGGAGGATTTAAACAAACTCTATTCTTGGTCAGAAAAGTGGCAGATGCAGTTCAATGTAGATAAATGCAAGGTTCTGAAGCTTGGGAGTGTCCATAACCCTAGTACTTATAAGTTAAATGATGTAGAACTTAGCCATACAGATTGCGAAAAGGACTTGGGGGTTATGGTGAGCAGCAACCTTAAACCAAGACAGCAATGCCTAAGCGTACGTAATAAGGCAAATAGATTAATTGGATTTATATCAAGAAGTGTAAGTGTCATACTGCAGCTTTATACATCATTAGTAAGGCCTCACCTAGATTATGCAGCTCAGTTCTGGTCTCCATATTATAGAATGGACATAAATTCGTTAGAAAACATTCAGCGTAGGATGACTAAATTAATACATAGCATTAGAAATCTTCCTTATGAAGAAAGATTGAAGACTCTTAAGTTACATTCACTTGTTAGACGAAGAATGAGGGGAGACCTGATCGAAGTGTATAAGTGGAAGATAGGTATTAATAAAGGGGATATTAATAAGGTCTTGAGGATGTCTCTCCAAGAGAGAACCCGCAGTAATGAATTTAAATTAGATAAGTTTAGATTCAGAAGGACAAGGAAAGTATTGGTTGGAAATAGGGTAGTTGATGAGTGGAACAGTCTACCTAGTTGGGTTATTGAGGCTGGGACTTTGGGTAGTTTCAAATTTAGGTTGGATAAGTACATGAGTGGGAGGGGTTGGATTTGAGTGGGACTTTCACATCAGAGCTTATTTCTTGGGTGGCATTGAAAATTGGATTGGTCAAATGTTTGTTAGTGGGATGAATTGTAAAGGACCTGCCATAGTATGGGCCAAAAAAAAAAAAAAAAAAAAAAAAAAAAAAAAAAAAAAAAAAAAAACGGCCTGCTGCAGTGTTCCTCCTTTCTTATGTTCTTATGTTTAATACCGACAGATTGTTAGGTAAGACACATATACAACAGTTAGGTATCTTTATTTCGAAACGTTTCGCCTACACAGTAGGCTTGATAAAGCTCCTGGAGAGCGAAACGTTGCCACAATAAATGTCACATTAGTTGCACTTGTGTCCTTTTACTTTACATTATTATTTTTTTATTATCACACCGGCCGATTCCCACCAAGGCAGGGTGGCCCGAAAAAGAAAAACTTTCACCATCATTCACTCCATCACTGTCTTGCCAGAAGGGTGCTTCACACTACAGTTTTTAAACTGCAACATTAACACCCCTCCTTCAGAGTGCAGGCACTGTACTTCCCATCTCCAGGACTCAAGTCCGGCCTGCCGGTTTCCCTGAATCCCTTCATAAATGTTACTTTGCTCACACTCCAACAGCACGTCAAGTATTAAAAACCATTTGTCTCCATTCACTCCTATCAAACACGCTCACGCATGCCTGCTGGAAGTCCAAGCCCCTCGCACACAAAACCTCCTTTACCCCTCCCTCCAACCTTTCCTAGGCCGACCCCTACCCCGCCTTCCTTCCACTACAGACTGATACACTCTTGAAGTCATTCTGTTTCGCTCCATTCTCTCTACATGTCCGAACCACCTCAACAACCCTTCCTCAGCCCTGTGGACAACAGTTTTGGTATCCCGCACCTCCTCCTAACTTCCAAACTACGAATTCTCTGCATTATATTCACACCCACACATTGCCCTCAGACATGACATCTCCACTGCCTCCAGCCTTCTCCTCGCTGCAACATTCATCGCCCACGCTTCACACCCATATAAGAGCGTTGGTAAAAACTATACTCTCATACATTCCCCTCTTTGCCTCCAAGGACAAAGTTCTTTGTCTCCCACAGACTCCTAAGTGCACCACTCACTCTTTTTCCCTCATCAATTCTATGATTCACCTCATCTTTCATAGACCCATCCGCTGACACGTCCACTCCCAAATATCTGAATACGTTCACCTCCTCCATACTCTCTCCCCCCAATCTGATATTCAATCTTTCATCACCTAATCTTTTTGTTATCCTCATAACTTACTCTTTCCTGTATTCACCTTTAATTTTCTTCTTTTGCACACCCTACCAAATTCATCACCAATCTCTGCAACTTCTCTTCAGAATCTCCCAAGAGCACAGTGTCATCAGCAAAGAGCAGCTGTGACAACTCCCACTTTGTGTGTGATTCTTTATCTTTTAACTCCACGCCTCTTCCCAAGACCCTCGCATTTACTTCTCTTACAACCCCATCTATAAATATATTAAACAACCACGGTGACATCACACATCCTTGTCTAAGGCCTACTTTTACTGGGAAAAAATTTCCCTCTTTCCTACATACTCTAACTTGAGCCTCACTATCCTCGTAAAAAACTCTTCACTGCTTTCAGTAACCTACCTCCTACACCATACACTTGCAACATCTCCCACATTGCCCCCCTATCCACCCTGTCATAGCCTTTTCCAAATCCATAAATGCCACAAAGACCTCTTTAGCCTTATCTAAATACTGTTTCACTTATATGTTTCACTGTAAACACCTGGTCCACACACCCCCTACCTTTCCTAAAGCCTCCTTGTTCATCTGCTATCCTATTCTCCGTCTTACTCTTAATTCTTTCAATTATAACTCTACCATACACTTTACCAGGTAACACTCAACAGACTTATCCCCTATAATTTTTGCACTCTCTTTTATCCCCTTTGCCTTTATACAAAGGAACTATGCATGCTCTCTGCCAATCCCTAGGTACCTTACCCTCTTCCATACATTTATTAAATAATTGCACCAACCACTCCAAAAATATATCCCCACCTGCTTTTAACATTTCTATTCTTTATCCATCAATCCCGGCTGCCTTACCCCCTTTCATTTTACTACTGCCTCACGAACTTCCCCACACTCACAACTGGCTCTTCCTCACTCCTACAAGATGTTATTCCTCCTTGCCCTATACACGAAATCACAGCTTCCCTATCTTCATCAACATTTAACAATTCCTCAAAATATTCCTTCCATCTTCCCAATACCTCTAACTCTCCATTTAATAACTCTCCTCTCCTATTTTTAACTGACAAATTCATTTGTTCTCTAGGCTTTCTTAACTTGTTAATCTCACTCCAAAACTTTTTCTTATTTTCAACAAAATTTGTTGATAACATCTCACCCCTCTCTCATTTGCTCTCTTTTTACATTGCTTCACACTCTCTTAACTTCTCTCTTTTTCTCCATATACTCTTCCTCCTTGCATCACTTCTACTTTGTAAAAACTTCTATATGCTAACTTTTTCTCCCTTACTACTCTCTTTACATCATCATTCCACCAATCGCTCCTCTTCCCTCCTGCACCCACTTTCCTGTAACCACAAACTTCTGCTGAACACTCTAACACTACATTTTTAAACCTACCCCATACCTCTTCGACCCCATTGCCTATGCTCTCATTAGCCCATCTATCCTCCAATAGCTGTTTATATCTTACCTAACTGCCTCCTCTTTTAGTTTATAAACCTTCACCTCTCTCTTCCCTGATGCTTCTATTCTCCTTGTATCCCATCTACCTTTTACTCTCAGTGTAGCTACAACTAGAAAGTGATCTGATATATCTGTGGCCCCTCTATAAACATGTACATCCTGAAGTCTACTCAACAGTCTTTTATCTACCAATACATAATCCAACAAACTACTGTCATTTCGCCTACATCATATCGTGTATACTTATTTATCCTCTTTTTCTTAAAATATGTATTACCTATAACTAAACCCCTTTCTATACAAAGTTCAATCAAAGGGCTCCCATTATCATTTACACCTGGCACCCCAAACTTACCTACCACACCCTCTCTAAAAGTTTCTCCTACTTTAGCATTCAAGTCCCCTACCACAATTACTCTCTCACTTGGTTCAAAGGCTCCTATACATTCACTTAACATCTCTCAAAATCTCTCTCTCTCCTCTGCATTCCTCTCTTCTCCAGGTGCATACACGCTTATTATACCCACTTCTCGCATCCAACCTTTACTTTAATCCACATAATTCTTGAATTTACACATTCATATTCTCTTTTCTCCTTCCATAACTGATCATTTAACATTACTGCTACCCCTTCCTTTGCTCTAACTCTCTCAGATACTCCAGATTTAATCCCATTTATTTCCCCCCACTGAAACTCTCCTACCCCCTTCAGCTTTGTTTCGCTTAGGGCCAGGACATCCAACTTCTTTTCATTCATAACATCAGCAATCATCTGTTTCTTGTCATCCGCACTACATCCACGCACATTTAAGCAACCAGTTTTATAAGTTTTTCTTCTTCTCTTTTTTAGTAATTGTATACAGGAGAAGGGGTTTACTAGCCCATTGCTCCCGGCATTTTAGTCGCCTCATACGACACGCATGGCTTACGGAGGAAAGATTCTTTTCCACTTCCCCATGGACAATAGAAGAAATAAAAAAGAACAAGAGCTATTTAGAAAAAGGAGAAAAACCTAGATGTATGTATATATATATATTATGCATGTGCGTGTCTGTGAAGTGTGACCAAAGTGTAAGTAGGAGTAGCAAGATATCCCTGTTATCTTAGCGTGTTTATGAGACAGAAAAAGAAACCAGCAATCCTACCATCATGCAAAACAGTTACAGGTTTTTGTTTCACAGTCATCTGGCAGGACGGTAGTACTTCCCTGGGTGGTTGCTGTCTACCAACCTACTACTTTACATATTGTCGGTAATTCTACAAACTTTGTTTACAAAGTGCTCCTCCTCTTTTAACTTAAGTGGTACATTGTACTGCAGTTTAAGTGGGGTTGTTTGCTCTAATGTCTCGTAATGAGATGGGATGTTATGCAGAGTCATGTTGTGCAAGAAAGGTATAAAATACCGACAATATGAAAGTTAAGACACATATGCAACATCTGGATATCTTTATTGTAGACGTTTCGCCATCCAGTGGCTTTATCAATACAGATTCTAGGACATAATAGGAAGACAGTAGAACTATATACAAAAGATGAGGTAATCAGTCCCTCGGCCTTGGAGTTAGTGTTCACAGCATCGTGGTGGAGGAGAATCTGGAGCAAAGACAAGAAGACTGGTGGTTATATAGGCGTCAGTGGATAGGGACGGGCAGCAGACGAGGGCAAAGTCACTGGTAGGCGGGATTCCCCAGTGGAAGTAGGTCCTTCCCAAAGAGATGGGTTAGTTGCAGCAGCTGTGAAGAAGGTCTTGTAGATGTCCTCTGAACCAAGATTCCATGATGTTGCAGTTAAGTTAAGACACATGTGCAACATCTGGATATCTTTATTGTAGACGTTTCGCCATCCAGTGGCTTTATCAATACAGATTCTAGGACATAATAGGAAGACAGTAGAACTATATACAAAAGATAAGGTAATCAGTCCCTCGGCTTTGCAGAGTCATGCTCGTCATGCAGAGTCATGCTCGGAGGGTGAGACACTGTGAGTATGTGTTGATAACATTACTCTCTCTGTCCTGGGTGTGTGAAGGTGTAAGAACCCGGACTCTCTTTCTCTCTCTCTCCTCTCACGGTTAGTACCTGAGTCAACACTTTCTCTTGTCACAGTACTAGAGTCCAGACTTTCTCTTTTCATAGTTAATACCAGAGGTCAGACTTTCTCTTGTCACAGTACTAGAGTCCAGACTTTCTCTTGTCACAGTTAATACGAGAGTTCAGACTTTCTCTTGTCACAGTACTAACGTACAGAGTTTCAGACTTTCTCTTGTCACTACGTTAATTTCCCAAGAGTCCAGAATGTCTCCTTTCACAATTAGTACTGGAGTACAGACTCTCTCCTCTCACAGAAAGTGCCAAAGTACAGACTCACTTCTCCTCTCTCACTTCTCTCATCTCTCTCCTCTCTCTGCTCTCATCTTCACTCTCTCTCTCTCTCTCTCTCTCTCTCTCCTCTCTCTCTCTCTCTCTCCTTTCTATACATAAGGTTTAACAAAGCTTGTTGCCCGTCTTGTTGTGTAACAGCTCAATTCTTGCTGTCCGCGGGTGAACTCTCCAAATATATATATATATATATATATATATATAATATATATATATATATATATATAAATATATATATATATATATATATATATATATATATATATATATATATATATATTCACATATCTGGGTCCTCAGACATGTCGAAGAAGGAGCTTCCTGTGATCGACCTGCGCCTGGCCAAGGGTTCGACCCGAGGGTCCCTGGTTCGACAGCTTCGGGAGGCCCTTACAACCGTCGGCTTCATCTACCTCACTGGTGTCGACGGCTACGACGAGAATGAGCTACTTCGACTCACTCGCTGGTTCTTCAGGTAGGTCTTGATGAGTGAACATTAAAATGGTATAAAATACCGACAGGTTGTTAGGTAAGACATAAGATATTTGAAGACGATGTAATCAGTCCATCACAAAACCTCAGAACTTCAAGGGTGATGGGCTGATTACATCGTCTTCAAGTATCTTCTGCTTCTATCAACTTTTCTGTACTCGACTGAAGAAGCCTACTGTGTAGGCGAAACGTTTCGAAATAAAGATACCTAACTGTTGCATATGTGTCTTACCTAACAACATAGGTCTTGATGACCAGTTGACACTTCATTATCAGTGTCTTGTTTAGCTAACAGAACTCTGCGGCCCAGTCCCCGGCCCATTATGTGCCTTTGTAATGTTGAGGTACAGTTCCTGGACCCATTATGTGCCTCTGTAATGTTGAGGAACAGTCCCTGGACCCATTATGTGCCTCTGTAATGTTGAGGTACAGTCCCTGGACCCATTATGTGCCTCTGTAATGTTGAGGTACAGTTCCTGAACCCATTATGTGCCTCTGTAATGTTGAGGTACAGTCCCTGGACCCATTATGTGCCTCCGTAATGTTAATTATCCGCAGTTGGGTTGCTAGCGCACTCAACTCACACACTGAAGTCTGTGGTTCGATCCCCGGATGTGTTTCCTTAAGACATCTGCTGTCACTGTTCACATAGCAGTAAAATAGGTACCTGGGTGTTAGTGGACTGGTGTGGGTCGCATTCTGGGAGAAAATTCACCTAATTTGCGGCAAATGCTCAGCATAACAAGGTACTTTCTGTATAGTAGTATGTCAGTGATGTCAGCTATGGTCTGTATACCTTGTACATGTACTGGTAGAAATAAAGATTATTATTATTAGTGGCAGAAGAATGTGGTATTATCGGGTAGGCATGGTATTTACAGCCTACCGCCGGCTTCCTCTCTCTACAACATTCTCCCATGCCCGAATTTGGCAGGAATAAGCATAGTCTTGATTACCCCCTTCCTCTCCCCAAGTGACCTGACCTCACTGCCTGCTGACCGCCATCTACTCCTCACAGTTTACCCTTGGAGGACAGGATGAAGATCTCAAGGAAGTGTTTCAACCCCGAGTGCAAGAATGAGTACCGAGGTTACTTTCCAGTTATCCCTGGGGAAGTGTCTCACAAAGAGGGTAAGTACGTCCTCAACATATACTGGAACAATTACAAACGATATTATGAATATTTTTAGCTTGATGAATACTGTATATAAATTGTACATAATACCGACAGACGTTTCGCCCTCCAGTGGCTTTATAAGTACAATAAAAGGACATTATGTGAAGAATTATATACAGATGAGGTAATCAGTCCCTCAGCCTTGGAGGGACTGATTACCTCATCTTCCGTAGTCTTGAAGGAACTGAAGTTCCTTCAAGACTACAAAGTGAGTTATTTCCATAGAGTATTTTTGCATAAAGACGTTTGGTCTCGGTAGGGTTTGAGATTGGTCCGAAGATGGACACGGAGCCGATGAACCCGGAGTCGCTAAAGACCAAGATGGACACGGAGCCGATGAACCCGGAGTCGCTAAAGACCAAGATGGACACGGAGCCCGATACCCGGGAGTCGCTAAAGCCCAAAGGGGACCCGGGAATCGAAAAAACTGGAGCGTCATGCCCAAATTTTTTTCTACGAGGAAATCATGGCCAACGCCCCCAGGACACACAGCCACTGCTAAAAAATTAAAGGGTGAGAACCAATGTAATCTATAGCAAAACGAAAATTTAAACTATTAAAACAGGAAAAAAAATTTTTGGGTTTTTGAGAGTTTTTAAAGAGTAAATACTAAGGGGGCCATGTAACGCAATATATTAAAAGATGTTTTTAATAAAAATTATTAATATATTATATTATATATATAAAATTTTTTATTTATATTATATATAAAATATATATAATTTTAAAAATATTATAAATTTTAATTTAAAAATATATTTGCAATAAGATCACGTAAACAGGTATTTCAGAATATGCAAAAAACCACTCTGAAAGAATAAGAAATTCCAAGCGTTTTTCGTGCTACTCACATTTCAAGGAACTATAGTTTTTTGATAATGGAGTAGTCACAAAAAGCGCTTGGAATTTCCTTTTCTTTCGAGTTTTGTTTTGCATATATTTATAATATATATATAATATATATATAAATAATATATAATATATATTATAATATAATATATATATTATATATATATTATATATAATGTCGTGCCAATACCCAGAATTTGCGATTTTGGCTTAAATAGAAAACGCTCTCTTCCAATATTTTTAAAGTAAAAATTTGTGTATGAAATAATTTCCCCAAAAAATCTTTCGAAAAGGGGAAAAAAACATTTTCACTGTTTTTTTAGTATTAAATTATTGTAAACAAATCTAAAAAATTTAGTTGGGTTTAGGCTTAAAATAAATTGTTCTTGTTATAATAAGGTTAGGTAAGTTTTCTAAGTTCCTTTTGGTGCAAAATTATAAAATTTTTACATTAACATTAATGAAAAAAATATATCTTTAAACGTATAAGAGAAATTTTAGAAAGGACTATTTTTTTAAATGAGTTCTTGCTAATTGACCAGTTTTACATATTCGGCACGACATATATATATATATATATATATATATATATATATATATATTCTGTATGATTAGTAAATCATACAGAATATATACACTGGTAGTTTATATCAATCACTGTTTTAGTTATCAAAGTATTCTTTACTGGTGGTGTACAGGTGATAAGCAGCCTTAATGACCTTCGTGTAGTAGATAGATTTGAAGCCCCGTTAACCATCCAACCAGCCTTAATGACTCTCGTTTAGTAGATAGGCTTTAAACCCCATTAACCACCCAACCAGCCTTAATGACCCTCGTTTAGTAGATTTAGATTTTGCCACCGAAGTGGCTAGTTTATTGTGCACCCCATATCCATCCTGTGGACGGTAGCGCGAGAGCATATGGATACACAAAAGGCCTAGGAACTAGGCCCCAAAGGGTTAACAGGAATACATATGGATTTATATCTACATATCTATAGTTCACTTATCTGTTACAAGCAAATTTAGGAAATTTGCTTAGTATATCTGGTATCTTATTTTCATTAATAAGATATCTTGACATGTCACATAGGTTATTATACTGTCTGTCTCTGTATTCCTCAATAAGTGGACAATTAAGCACATAGTGTTCAAGAGAGTGACCATATGCCTGATCACATAATTTACATTTAGTTTGATCATCATCTGTGTGTCTCCCAAACTGCCAGAAGTACTTGTAACCAAGCCTAAGCCTGGCCACTACAACATCAGTCAGTCTGTTCACATTGCAAGTTGCATCAGTCAGTCTCGTTTAGTAGATAGGCTTTAAACCCCATTAACCACCCAACCAGCTTTAATGAACCTCGTTTAGTAGATAGGCTTTAATCTCCATTAACCAACCACTCTAACTCCATAAGAGCGTAATAGCTTGTTTGTGTACCTAGTATCTAGTAGTTTTTGTGATAGGTTCAATTATCAGTTGTTTACTGATAATTATCAGTGGTGATTCTGTTATCTGTAATCAGTAAGGGGAATTAGAGGACAGATTACTGACCTTCTTTATCACGGACTCTGTGGATTAGACATTTCACTTACCAGGGACTGTATCAGTTTATGAATTAAGTCCCCGGTGGGCGAAACGTCTGCACAAGAGATTCCATAAACCCGCAGTGTGTCTTGTGATGAATGGTTTGAAAAACCGACAAGTTGAAGATTGAGACACTTATGCAACATATGGAAATCTTTATTCAGGAAACGTTTCGCCACACAGTGGCTTCACCAGTCCAATACAAAGTAGAAAGGCGTAAGGAGAGGAAGAGTTTGAGGTAATCAGTCCCTCAGCTTGGAGTCGATGTGTTCAGTCCATCAATCTTATAGAATCATTGTCCTCATCGCTCTCGGGCCGTGTGGACAGGCTGCGCAGTAGCTCCCGAATCGTCTGGTTTTCTGTGCAGTTTTCCTGTTTTGAGCAATCAAAATGGCGGACAGACATGGACGCAGGGTAAATACTGTCTGTGTGGAGCTGGTACGTGGTACCCTGAGTGGTTCTACAATGCAGGTGCTGCTGCCAAGTATCATCCGTGATGTGTACGGCATACCGAACGACGAGTTGTATGGTGTAGCAGTGAATGGAGTGTCCAGGATCTTTATCACGTTTAAGAGTGCTGGGTTTTACTCCAGCATAGTCGACGCGTTCCAAGAAAAGAGGATGACCGTTAATTCTGCAGTGGAGGTCTGCCTACATGACGTATCAAAGCTATGTAACGTGGGGTAAAGGTGAGAATGTCCCTTTGAGGCCTTGGAATATGATGTTGTGGAGGTATTCCGTAGGTATGGCAAGATCCATTCGGCAGAGTTGGGAGTGTGGAAGGATGGGCCTTATATGGGGCTGCCAGAGGGATCTTTCACATTGAAGATGACACTGAGACAACCTATACCGTCGTACGTTCTGATGGAAGAGTTCAGAACACAGGTTTATGTATATTATGCAGGACAGCGTCGGACATGTAGGCTGTGCGGGTCTTATGACCATATGGCGGCCCAATGTCATCAAAGGCAGGGATGGAGGGAACAGGCGCCAACAACTGTGGAACGACAGCTGGGCTCCTTGGCACCTGGGACAGGTGAAGCTGCAAGACAGGCGTCTGGAAGTTGGAGTGAAGAAGTAGACAGAGTGGAGTCGGAATTGGAAGCGTGCGCCACGTTACCTGTGGGAACTGTGTCTGAGCGACCATCTACGGATGCGACTGTTGACAGAAGTGACTTACAACAGGATGGTCTGTTGGACGAGGTCTTGAAAGACTTCTTGGGGGAGGTGGAAGACAGTCAGGAAGGGGAGAAGGACGGGAGGGTATTGGAGGGGGTAGCAGTTGCACAGGAGTGTGAGAACACCTTGTGCAACGAGAGTAAGCAGCACACGGTGGTGGTTGAGGTGCACCAGAAAAACATGGATGCTGAGGCAACGTGTGGAGGTGGCACACGTAAGCGAGCAGCTGGGACGTCTGATATGGAAGATGTCTTAACGCCAGGGCAGAGATCTGGAAAGAAACCTTGGAAGACCGTGCTAGATCTCCCAGGGAATGGTGGCACCGGTTCTGTGGTGCTGCAAGGGTCGAAGGAAAAGGGGGGGATCGGAGGTCTGGATAGACCAAGTGACAAACATGGCTATAGTCAACAGCCACGTATTTCGAGCAACCTTCAAAAGCGGTGGGGCAAGCCGCCTTTACTGTCATAATTCAAGGTTGTAACGATCAATGTTAATGGCCTGAGAGCCGAGGTTAAAAGAGTATGGGTGGAATGGTTTTTAAAGAGATTTAATGTAGATATATGTTTCATTCAGGAGCACAATTATAAGTTTGGTTGTGAGTTGTCTTTGAAAGGATATAAGTTGTATGTGAGTGGCTCTTTGAGGTTAAAAGGTGGGGTTGCTGTGGCTGTAAAGGAAACCAGTCCATTGCGTATTTTGGGGTGGGAGGAGGGGGGGGAGGGTCGTGTGGGTGGAGGGAGAATGGGGTGCAACGAGGGTTTGTTTTATAGGAGTGTATATGCCGGCGGATGGCAACGCACGAGTCAAGGAGAACTTTGTGAGGGAATTTTTGATGTACTATTTAAGGGGTTTACCTTTAGTCACTGTAATAGGGGGGGAGATTGGAATTGTGTTATTAAGGGGGGGGGGATGTGGAAACCGAGGGGGGCGGGGTGTATGTTGGGCTTGTTACGTAATGTGTTTGGAGACGTGGGGGTTTTGGATGTTGTGGGGAGGGGTGGTTGGCAGGTTGAGTATACGTTTGTCAGACGGGATTATGCTGCAAACTTAGATAGGATCTATGCAACGGAAGCTGTACGTGTGTTGGGAGTCAGGACTTTTGATGTGGGGTTTTCTGATCATAGGGCAGTTATGGCAGATCTTGATTGGGAGGGTATGGCTAGGATACAATTGGGTTTTTGGAAATTAAATGCAAGACTCGTGAGGAGTGAGGAGGTGATTATGGCTTTTGGGGAATGGTGGCAAACTTTTTGGGATTCTAGAGAGGTGGAGTCGTGTGTCTTAGAATGGTGGGAAAGGCACGCTAAGCCGGGTATAGCAGGTTTCTATAAGAGGAAGGGAAGGGAAGAGGCAAGGTGGAGGTATGGGTTGCAAAATTATTTTGAATATCAGCTAAATGGGTGTTATGAGGAAGGGGGGGGGGCGGCAGTATGGAAACATGGTGCAACTCAAGGACAGGTTGGCAGAGTTACATAATGGTAGATTTGATGTGGTACGTGTCAGGGCAGGAATGGAGGCTGTGCTGTGGGGGGATAAACCTTCGGGAAGCATTTTGCGAGGTTTTAGGGTAAGGCAGAAGGATTCGACTATTTTAAACTTGGAGGTAAGTGAGGATATGGGTGGTTATCATAAGGAACAGGTACTGAATACTACAGAAGGCATGAGCAATTATGCTGATTTCTGGTTCCAAAAGAAGTGGGGGAAGGGGGAGGAGGGCAATGCTATTGAGGAGGTGTGGGAGGGGGGGAGAGGTTTAGGGTCATGTGAAGAGGAGGGCATGGGGATGGGAGGTGAGATTAGCATGGGGGAAGTTGAGGAGGCTGTGTTCAACATGAGTACTGGCAAGGCGCCGGGTATAGATGGGATATCAAATTATTTTTATAGAATTCAATGGGAGCACATTAAGCACTGTCTGGTGAGGGTCATGAATTGTATGCGACGGGAGGGACAGTTAGGACAGACTCAGCGAACGGCTGTAGTCGTATTAGTACGCAAAAAGCAAGAGGGAAGAGTATTGAGTGAGTACAGAGCTATTTCGCTAATGTGTGCCGACTACAAGATTTTCGCGAAGATACTGGGCAATAGGATGAAGGAGGTGTTAGGTGGGGTTATTCATAAGGGGCAGATGGGTATTCTGGGCAGAAGCATGAGAGATGGGCATGGCCGAATTAGGGATTTTTTGGAGGGTTGCAACGGGGGAGGGCTTTTGGGTATTGATTGGGAAAATGCATACGACTATGTGGATAGAAACTTTCTGAGGGCTAGTTTGTTGCATCTCGGTTTCGGCATGGGAGTGGTGAGGTGGGTTGATACGATGTATTCATCTGCAATGGTGCGGGTACAAATTAATGGCAGGTTGGGAAGGCCTGTAAGGATGGAGAGGGGTTTGAGACAGGGGTGTCCCCTGTCTCAGATATTGTTTGCGTGTATGCAGCATCCGTTTTATGGGCTCGTTGAGGGGAGGGGGATTTTAAATGGGAAGAAGGATAGGTGTATAGATGTGGTGGGGTATGTGGACGATACCACTGTTCTGATAGCCGGAGTGGAGGGATTACGTACGGTGGAAAGTGTGTTGGAGCTTTTCAGGAGGGCATCTGGCATGCGGGTGAACAGAGCAAAATCAAGTTTGCTGGAGGTGGGTGCCTGGGTGGGGAGGGCTTGGGGTTGGAGTTTGGGTGGGACGTAGTGGCTAGGCTATAAATTTGTGGAGTTATATACATGACAGATGCGCGGGAGGCTAGGCAGGTGAATTCGGAGGTGGTGGTGGAGAAGGCAGTAAAAAGGTTAAGGAGTTTATGGGCGGGGGACGTCACCTTACAACAGCGGGCGATAATCATAAATTCATTAGTTTATATTAAAGTGTGGAGTATGGCTGTGGTGTATCCACTGCGGACCCCAGACGTATATGAGATTCAGAGGAGGGCATTACGTTATGTTTGGGGTTTCGGGAGGGCATGGCTAAGCAAGGAGGCGGTGGCCCGGTGGTCTGGCGGTGGCCCGGTGGTCTGGTGGCTAAAGCTCCCGCTTCACACACGGAGGGCCCGGGTTCGATTCCCGGCGGGTGGAAATTCCGACACGTTTCCTTACACCTATTGTCCTGTTCACCTAGCAGCAAATAGGTACCTGGGTGTTAGTCGACTGGTGTGGGTCGCATCCTGGGGGACAAGATTAAGGACCCCAATGGAAATAAGTTAGACAGTCCTCGATGACGCACTGACTTTCTTGGGTTATCCTGGGTGGCTAACCCTCCGGGGTTAAAAATCCGAACAAAATCTTATCTTATCTTATGTCGAATACACGCAGTGGAGGAGTAGGCCTTTTAGCGTTGGGGCCGAGAGTAAAGGCCTTATATGTGAAACAGAGGTTCGTTAGGGAGGGGGAAAAGATGGGTTAGAGTGGGGAAAGTGATGGAGGATGTGCGGAGATGGTGGAGCGGAAAAGAATTAATTGAATGCGAGGATATGCTGAGGTTATTGTTATTGATTAGGGAGGTGGAAAAACTTAGGGTGGGGCGTTTGGTGACGATGAGTAGAAGGCCGGAAATCATACAGGGGGTATCGGTTTATCCCTTGTATGATTGGGGAATGATGTGGAATGACTTTCGAAAGCTTAAGTTAATGCCGAGAGTACAGGAGTTTGTATATAGATTTATGATGGGGATATTAGCATCGAAAGCTGTTTTGTGTTCAATGGGATTGGTGAGGGAACAGACCTGCGATCACTGTGGAGAACAAGAAACAGCTTTTCATGCGGTTTATTTCTGTGAAGAGTTGAGGGAGGTAAGGGTGTGGTTAGCGAAGGTTTTTAGGTTGATGGGTGGAGGTAATGTAGAGACCCGGCGAGTCTTAACATTAGAAGTACGCGGGGTCTCCAGAGAAGTGAAAAGGGCGATTATGTATGTAGTGGTGGATTTTCTGTATATTTCCTGGGGGATGAGGGACACGGGAGGGGGGAGAATTAGGATTAGGGCAATTGCGGCGGGCATATATAGAACGGTTTGCAGAAACAGACTTATTTACGGGGGACAGTGGAGGGCACGTTTTCCGGAGACCTACTGCAAACTTACGGTCAATGGCCTCATTCAGTTGGCGAGCTAATTATACGTAATGGACTGGTTTCCTTTATAAGCGGGTTGACATTAGTTTTTCGGAGGGAGAGTGTATGAGGTAAAGGACTGGCGAAGGAATGTGAGGGTCAGGAAGGTATGTACTGCGTGGTGCTGTGTTGACATGTAAGTTTTGTGTGCAAGATTTTGATTAGCCCAAAATTTGTATAAATTAGGTCCTTGAGATTAAAAGAGAGTTATAGAAGTCACTGTCCATGTTAGTCTACCAGTTTTTGCAAAGATAATTTTTCTGGAATGTATTTTCGCAGTATTTATTGTAATTCTGTAGGGAATTTATTTCCTCTTAGATGGCTTTTATATTAGTTTTTACATAATTTGTTTTCCATCACCTTTGTAATGTTATTAAGTTTCGTTGCTGATGCAACGTATGCTGTAAGAATCTTGCAGTTGTTGTTGCTTTATACGCTTATGTAATTTTGTGTAATGCTTATTGTTGTTATAGAGTAATGTTGACGGATAATTACCAGACTTTGTTCTTAAGTTAAATCTCATAATCAGTTGCATGTATATATAAAGTTACAAAAATTTATATTTGATCACTGCTGTGATCAATACGTGTGTGAATGTTGTGGCTGTATTTATAGATGAGTTTTCAGGGGGGGGGCGTCCCCCCTCCAACAGTTTTGTGTGTATGTGTCAGATATATTATCATTTTGTATAATGTGTGCCCAGTTGCAATGGTGTGTATGTTTTTGCGTGTTTCAATTTTTTGCTCTTGATTGTGATATAATTCTTCGTAATTTTGTCCAATCCTGTATTGTTGTGGTTTTAATTATCTTATACTACCTTGTAATTTATGATGTTTTAAATAAAATATAAAAAAAATCTTGAAGAATGTAAAAGCCTTTGGCGTAGACTGGCTTATATACTGTATGAGTGAGGTGAAGCATCTTGTCAGCCCACTGCAGCATCATGAGATTTGTTACAAAGAATTCCTTCAACACTTGTTCAACCTTTGGCGAAGACCTACTTCGACTAGGGGATGGTACCACTATGACCCCGCCTCCTCCTGCTTCACCTAAACCTGACTACTTCGACTAGTGGAGGGTACCACTATGGCCCCCGCCTCCTCCTGCTTCACCTCACCTGACTACTTCGACTAGTGGATGGTCCCACTATGACCCCGCCTCCTCCTGCTTCACCTAAACCTGACTATTTCGACTAGGGGAGGGTTTACCACTATGACCCCGCCTCCTCCTGCTTCACCTCACCTGACTACTTCGACTAGTGGATGGTACCACTATGACCCCCCTCCTCCTGCTTCACCTCACCTGACTACTTCGACTAGTGGATGGTACCACTATGACCCCGCCTCCTCCTGCTTCACCTCACCTGACTACTTCGACTGTGGTGGACCACTATGACCCCGCCTCCTCCTGCTTCACCTCACCTGACTACTTCGACTATGGATGGTACCACTATGACCCCGCCTCCTCCTGTTTCACCTCACCTGACTACTTCGACTAGTGGATGGTACCACTATGACCCCGCCTCCTCCTGCTTCACCTCACCTGACTACTTCGACTAGTGGATGGTACCACTATGACCCCGCCTCCTCCTCCCTTCACCTAAACCTGACTACTTCGATAGTGGATGGTACCCACATGACCCCCGCCTCCTCCTGCTTCACCTCACCTGACTTACTTCGACTAGTGGATGGTACCACTATGACCCGCCTCCTCCTGCTTCACCTCACTGACTACTTCGACTAGTGGATGGTACCACTATGCCCCCGCCTCCTCCTGCTTCACCTCACCTGACTACTTCGACTAGTGGATGGTACCACTATGACCCCGCCTCCTCCTGCTTCACCTCACCTGACTACTTCGACTAGTGGATGGTACCACTATGACCCCGCCTCCTCCTGCTTCACCTCACCTGACTTACTTCGACTAGTGGATGGTACCACTATGACCCCGCCTCCTCCTGCTTCACCTCACCTGACACTTCGACTAGTGGATGGTACCACTATGACCCCGCCTCCTCCTGCTTCACCTCACCTGACTACTTCAAACTAGTGGATGGTACACTATGACCCGCCTCCGTCTGCTTCACCTCACCTGACTACTTCGACTAGTGGATGGTACCACTATGACCCCGCCTCCGTCTGCTTCACCTCACCTGACTACTTCGACTAGTGGATGGTACCACTATGACCCCGCCTCCTCCTGCTTCACCTCACCTGACTACTTCGACTAGTGGATGGTACCACTATGACCCCGCCTCCGCCTGCTTCACCTCACCTGACTATTTCGACTAGTGGATGGTACCACTAGACCCCCCTCCTCTGCTTCACCTACTGACTACTTCGACTAGTGGATGGTACCACTATGACCCCGCCTCCTCCTGCTTCACCTCACCTAAACTACTTCGACTAGTGGATGGTACCATTTATGACCCCGCCTCCTCCTGCTTCACCTCACCTGACTACTTCGATTGTGGATGGGTAACCACTATGACCCGCCTCCGCTTGTTCACTTCACCTGACTACTTGACTTGTGGATGGTACACTTGACCCCGCCTCCGTCTGCTTCACCTCCCGACTACTTGACTATTTGGTTGGTACCACTATGACCCCGCCTCCTCCTGCTTCACCTCACCTGGACTAAACTTCGACTAGTGGATGGTACCACTATGACCCCGCCTCCACCTGCTTCACCCCCACCTGACTACTTCGACTAGTGGATGGTACCACTATGACCCCGCCTCCTCCTGCTTCACCTCACCTGACTACTTCAACTAGTGGATGGTACCACTATGACCCCGCCTCCTCCTGCTTCACCTCACCTGCCCTACTTCAAACTAGTGGATGGTACCACTATGACCCCCGCCTCCTCCTGCTTCACCTCACCTGACTACTTCGACTAGTGGATGGTACCACTATGACCCCGCCTCCTCCTGCTTCACCTCACCGGACTACTTGACTAGTGGAGGGTTTACCACTATGACCCCGCCCTCCTCCTGCTTCACCTCCCCTGACTACTTCGACTAGTGGATGGTACCACTATGACCCCGCCTCCGCCTGCTTCACCTCACCTGACTACTTCGACTAGTGGATGGTACCACTATGACCCCGCCTCCTCCTGCTTCACCTCACCTGACTACTTCGACTAGTGGTGGTACCACTATGACCCCGCCCCGCCTGCTTCACCTCAACCTGACTACTTCGACTAGTGGATGGAAACCACTATGACCCCGCCTCCTCCTGTTTCCCACCTCACCTGACTACTTCGACTAGGGGATGGTACCACTATGACCCCACCTCCTCCTGCTTCACCTCACCTGACTACTTCGACTAGTGGAGGGTACCACTATGCCCCCGCCTCTGCCTGCTTCACCTCACCTGATACTTCGACTAGTGGATGGTACCACTATGACCCGCCTCCGCCTGCTTCACCTCACCTGACTACTTCGACTAGTGGATGGTAACCACTATGACCCCGCCTCCGCCTGCTTCACCTCACCTGACTCTTCGACTAGTGGATGGTACCACTATGACCCCCCTCCTCCTGCTTCACCTCACCTGAATACTTCGACTAGTGAATGGTACCACTATGACCCCGCCTCCTCCTGCTTCACCTCACCTGACTACTTCGACTAGTGGATGGTACCACTATGACCCCGCCCCCTCCTGCTTCCCCTCACCTGACTACTTCGACTAGTGGATGGTCCCACTATGACCCCGCCTCCCCCCTGCTTCACCTCACCTGACTACTTCGACTAGGGGAAATGGTACCACTATGACCCCGCCTCCTCCTGCTTCACCTCACCTGACTACTTCGACTAGTGGATGGTACCACTATGACCCCGCCTCCTCCTGCTTCACCTCACCTGACTACTTCGACTAGTGGATGGTACCACTATTACCCCGCCTCCGCCTGCTTCACCTCACCTGACTACTTCGAATAGTGGATGGTACCACTATGACCCCACCTCCTCCTGCTTCACCTCACCTGACTACTTCGACTAGTGGATGGTACCACTATGACCCCGCCTCCTCCTGCTTCACCTCACCTGACTACTTCGACTAGTGGATGGTACCACTATGACCCCCCGTCCGCCTGCTTCACCTCACCTGACTCCCTTCGACTAGTGGTTGGTACCACTATGAACCCCGCCTCCTCATGCTTCACCTCACCTGACTACTTCGACTAGTGGATGGTACCACTATGACCCGCCTCCTCTGCTTCACCTCCACCTGACTACTTCGAATAGTGGATGGTACCAATGACCCCGCCTCCTCTGCTTCACCTCACCTGGACTACTTCGACTAGTGCA